ACTACTGCCATTCTACTTTGTTTGTTTAATCTTTTTTTTAATAATTCATTCTTTTTACTTTCATTTTACATTCCAACCATAGTTGTCCCTCAGGCCCTTCCTCCCAATCCCCCAACAATCCCCTCTGGTAAGACTCCTAGCAATAGTGGAAAGGATGTCCATACTGGCCTACCCCTGTAAGCAGATTGGCGAATACTCTATCATAGAACTTTCATCCAGTAATTTGTTATGAGCATTTTCCCGCCAGCCTGGTCCCAAGGCTGCATCAGCTCCAAATAACACACAGAGACGCTGTATTTAATTATATTGCTGTTGGCCAATGTCTGGAGCATTTTATTGGCTAGCTCTGTCTTAAATATTAACCCATAATCACTGATATATGTATTTCTACATAGTCTTTCTTATCTTACCGAGGAAGCCAGACTCTAGTCCTCCCCTCCCAAGATCACATGGCGGTGACTTTACTACGTTTCTCAGAATCCTCCACCTCTCCTAGTCCCACCTATCTTGCTTTCCTATTGGCAACAGTGCTTTATTCATTAACCAATAAGCGAAACATATTTACAGAATTCATTAACCAATAAGAGAAACATATTTACAGAATGACATCTCCCATCAGTAATTGTTTGATTTTTTTTTTTTTTTAACTACATCAAGTACCTCATAGAAGTAGAATTATGAAGTATTTGTCTTTGGGGGAGGAACTGGCTTTACTTAGCACAGTATATTTTAAAATTTAAATTGGTTTTCACTGATACATTAGAAAAATAAATTCTTAAGTATGCTGTTTTGACATATATGAATTGTGTAATGTTTTAATCAAGTTAAATATGTCTTTCTCATTTATATTTCTTTACATTAAAATTCTTACAGATTTCTGAAATGTATGGTACATTATACATAATCACTCTTTGCATAATATTAAGATATATTCAGAGTAGAATGTGTCAGACATTCCTTGTTTTAAGATAGAATTCTGCTGTGAATAAATATCACAGTTTGGTCATCCATCTGCCCATGGACATAGGTCGTGTCTTAGGGAGGGTTCCTGTTGCTGTGAAAGGACACCATGACCACAGCAGTTCTTACAAGGGAAAACATTTTATTGGGCATCATGGCTGGGAGCATGGCAGCAGCAGGCAGACATGGTGCTGGGGAGAGGTTACTGAGAGTTCTACATCCAGACCCTCAGGCAGCAGGAAGTGCACTGGCTTGAGTTTCTGAGCCTCAACCACCCCCCTCCTCCCAGTAACACACTTCGTCCAACAAAACCACACCTCCTGGTAGTGCCACTTCCTATGGACCAACTATTCAAACACATACGTCTATGGGAGCCATTCCTATTCAAACTACCACAGTGGTATTTCTAGAACAATATTACTTTCAGTTAATTAAACATAATGGACGTCACTGTAACATTTTATATGTGTACCTAATGTATTTCAGTCATTTTTACCTACTGCTACTCTTGTCCCCCTTCCACTCCCATTAGTCCCCTTCCCCTTCCCAGCTCACCCCACCTTCTATTCATGTCTTTTTGTGTATGTACATAACACAGCCATACTTGAGAAATGGTAACTTTTTAACTCTTTAATGTCCCCCTCATTTGTCAGTAGAATTTGAATCTGCACTTAAGAAACAGATCTCTATTGTTTTGTAAATATATCTGTTCATATCTGTATTGCAGGTTTTGTTTCAGTCATTCCCATTTTTGATGATTATGTTGAAATTTAAAGTGTGAGAGTGCGTGCGTGCGTGTGTACATGGGCATATGCCTGCCATGTGTGCCAGTACCCTCAGAGGGCAGAAGACGCCATCGGATACCCTGAAACTGGACCTCTAGATAGTTGTGAACCACCAGATGTAGATGCTGGGAACTGAACTTGGGTCCTCAGAAAGAGCAGCAAATGTTCTTAACCACTGAACAATCTCTCCAAACCTGTTAGATAATATCTTCATCCTTTTATTTATGTTTGTGATCAAAATATCTGAAAATTGATCATTGGAAATCCGTTTGAACTGACTTATACAGCCATGTGATACTACTTTGTCATATCTTCTAATGCTTTTTTTGTAACTTGATATTAAAAGGTTTTCAGGAATTGTAATATATAAAACCCCTTCTGCCCCATCCATGGATTAAGTTGTTTCTCTGAGGACTTTTAGTGGGGACTAGTTTTAGAAACCAAGATCTGATATATGATGTGTTCATTGCTATTGGGGGGGGGGGGGTTGTTTCTTGGCTGTTCAGGAGTCAGAACTAGAAAATTTGTGCTTATACTCAGACACGCACGCATGCACGCACACACACGCACACTCCAAATCATATGACCTTTTTATACATATATTAATAAATGTATATATGGATTTGTGAATTCATACCAGTACTTGTTATATTCCACTTCATTTTCCTACTGTTTGTACATGTTCCTGTTTCACATTTACATGCTCCTTCTTCCACATTGAGACGTGGCTCCTAATAAGGTCAACCTTTGGTTTAATCTTACCTTTTTATTTCCTAGTAAAAACTTGCAAGCCGAGTTGATGGTCCATGCCTTTAACACCAGCACTTGGGAGGTATATCTCTTGGGTGTTTGAGCCCAGCCTGGTCTACTAAGACAATTCTAGGATAGCCAAGGCTGTTAACACACATGAAAAAAGCTCTGCCTCAAAAAAGCAGTAATAATGATAGTAATAATATTAATATGTTTGTATTGAATTATTATTTATTTTCTTTTTTAATTTATTGGCTTTAAAGTCTTCATCTATAGTTTTGAAAGTTTTCTTTTGGATATAGAATTCATAGTTGACAGTTTGAGCTTTTAGGGTATTTTCTATCCCTCCCCAAAAATACTTTAAAGATACTCCTTTATATTAAGGATTTGACATGAAGTCTGTTGTATCTCTTCTCATTGTTCTGTATTAATGAAAGTGGTTTATAATTTGATTGTGGTAGTGGTTATTCAACTCTGTTCTTTTGATACTACTTATAAAATTGTGTAGCAAAGAAAGAAATTTGGTATATCTGGACTTAAAATACAAATATTATAAGGATACTATGCACCGTGCACTGTTAGTCTAAGAATACAATAATGAGTAATCTAGTTTCTGGTTTCACACAGCCTGGTGCCAACATCCTAGCTGTGCAAGACATCCCTTGAGTTGGCATGTGAGATACAATGAACACTGATTTACTAGAAGGAAGTCTAAGAGAGAAAATAAACTTCCTAACATAGAGAGTCTATAAATAGCATTTCTAGGGGTTGCGAATCCATTGGTGGCCAGGTGGACTGGGAACATTTATCCTCTTTACATATGTTGCTTCACCAAAGCCAAATGGTAATTATCCTTCTCTGTCGTATTCCTAGAATCCACTGGTGATGGGCTGGAAGAGAATTGTCTGTGGTCTGGTGCTTGATGGGCTAAACAAGTGGCCCCTCAGTCTTTCATGTCACCTTATTCAATGATACTTATGCTATCCAGTGTTTTGTGATGACTAATGACAGCCTGCTGGACTAAGCGTACTTATGCTTTTCACAGTGCTCCTTTTCCGTACTGTTTGTCAGAAAGCCAGATCTTATTGGTTAGATGCTAGAAGTACTGGCATTATTAGCTAGCTTTATTAGCTAGCTTTTGCTCTTTGTATGACTAGCATTCCATTAACAGCTAATTTAGTGTACATGCAGAAGAGTAGTTTTTCTTTACAGATAAGGCCAACTCGCCTAGTTCCCAGTGGACTTTGGAGAGGCTGACTTTAGTTCTGGCCCATGGGCCTTCATTGTTTCTTTAGCAGAGAAGTGCGTGTTTCAGGAATTAGGGTAGTTGGTGCTGATGCTCCACTGTTTCTAGGGATCATGAACAAAGCTTATGAGAAATCATAAAATACGGTAATTGATAATGACAATACCACCAAGAACTATGGGAGCATAAATACCTACAGTGTACCACATATAGAGTCTTGCTGGCCCAGAGCTCCCACTCTAATGCTGTGGTTGGCCTTTCTGGTATCCAGCCCCAGCCTGCTGGTGCTGAGGGTTCTCACTCAAGAACTTGTATGGGATAGAAATCTTGTGCCAGGAAGCATATTGTTTTCCATTTATCAAGTAAGATTTCCTGGAGAATGTGGCATTTGAGTGGTTGTAACGTTGTATAGGTTCAAACATTTGCATAGAACATTCCAGGCTAGATAGTAGTTTCTAGGAATTAGTATTAGCAGTAACAGAACAAACACTTATACAAGTGCAGGTTTCAACATATAGAAGGGCACCAAGGGCATTTTTAGTGTTAGGATAGCACATGCCCATAGAAAAAAATAAGAAATAAACATTAAGTGAACATATCATTTCATACTACTTATTAACCATAGCACTTTACTTTTTACAGAGCAGAAGAAAAAAGAGATTTGCTCATGTTTTTCCAAAGTCTGCATTTTTTTGTGGAATGGTATGAATATCGTAAGAACACACTTGAGCATTTTAAGGTAAGGTCTAAAGATTTTCAATTTGAATATATATAGAGAATAAAGCTGCTGTTAATTTTGCATTGGGACAAAACACCAAGTGCTTGAGTGTTCTAGGAAAAGCATTCAGATTCTAACGTGTACCCTATAATGGAAATGATATTGGTACTTTATATGTAAAAGATGAATATTTCTAAAACATTTATGATTTTGTGTACAACTCCAAAGTACTATGTGCACTAACATTTGTGAGTGGGCTATGTACCTTCTTCTGAAGTATATTTAGGAACTTTAATTGGCATTGTTGAGTTATCGCTGTTAGACTGGAGGTCAGGTTTTCTCTTCACATGTATCTGGAAATCATGGCTGTTGAAAGGTGGCGCTCATGGACTGGATTGAGAATATTTAGTTTGTTTGGGTGAACGCCTGTACAGCCAAAGTTTTACATACAGCATAACAGAAGAGGCACTGTTTACATTTCTTATATTTGAACAAATTTATTGATTAAATCATTCTTATACTGTGAAAAGTTTACATATATTTCATATTTGAGACTCTTTAGAGTGAAAGAATTGTATATTATTTGAGAAGTGGGTAGAATTTTGATTTTTTTTTTCTTACAAAGTTTTTTTTTTTTAAGTAATTTTCTAAAGGCTATGTGACCACAAAGTAGAAAACTGAACTTTTCTAAATTGGTTCTATACAAAAGAGTAAAATTTTACTTTATCTGGAGAATTTTGCCTAGATGTGGCTACCCTTTTTCTTAGGCTAAGTGGGAAATACAGTAGAATAGCTGCCTTAACAGAAAGCAAGCCTCTACTTTGTGGAGAGTGTAGATGAATCATAGAGTCATTGGGAGGTCACTTGGACACTTTTGGCTTTCCACAGTTTTTTGGAACATCTGTCTTACATGCTTTTGAGATACAGTAAATGTTAAGAAAGACAAACAGTTGAAAGTTTCTTGGAATTCTTTTACTTCATTAGTCACGGGAATGGTGAATCTCATGTAAGTGTTTGTATAAAAGCATGCTATTTAGATGGCAGTCTAGTGTAAACTTCAAAGAGTTTTTAGTGCTGTTTAGTTTCATTCACATCATTTTGTTTTGAACTAATAGATTCGATCTGGATTATTTTGTAGTAACATATAAGAATTTTGGACATCTTTGTTTAAACAAAATTCTATCATAGTGAGATAAAATGATAGTATTAAACTGTTTATGTTCCTTTAGACAGTAAGCACACATACTTTAGAATATAAATTGCACTGATGGTGTTTAAAAGTATGATCCTATAGGTAATCTTTTTAAGCAAATAAAACTGTTTGGATGCTTCCCCAGAGCAATTGGATTGCCCTCCAGGCGAATCTCCTCAACACGGTCCCGAATGTAACGAGTGTCATTAGCTTTGCAGAATGTATCATCTGTAATTGAAGATATGCTGTTAAACTGAAAAAGAAAAAGAAAAATACTCAGAACTCTACAACCTTTTCTATATTTATGCAGTAGGATCACACAGTATAATTGCCTAAAATGTAATCATTTTAAAAATAATATTTTAAAAATACTAGTTCATAGTAATGACACTCTCTCTTGCAATCTGAACATATTTTTAACTGCACAGAACTGTTTTGGAATAACAGTCTAGTCATTATTACTCCAAGTTATGTCTATTCAGTCCTGTTTGGAATATAAATAGAAACATGCAAGCTAGAAAAATATCCTGGTCCAACTTGTTAACTCAAAAACTGTACTATGTTTAAATATCCCTTAAAGAGGTGAAAAGGAATAAGTTAAGATTCTTGTGATGCTGAGATATTAACTTCTGCTCCTTCTCATTTTTCTTCACTTATCCAATTCCCACTCGACGCTGTCCTATACAACAAGTTAAAACGTCTCCAAAAGCACATGTCCACCACTTAATTGGAGAAAGAATAATAAATCAAAAATTGGAGTTCACTATTTGAGGAAAGAAACATAAATCAGTGGTCTTCAAATCTGTGTTCAGAGTAACTAGGAGATTCATAGCACCTTGTGTCAGTTGCTGGCAGATTACCCAGGTTGTTTAGCCTCCATTATTCTGTCTCTTTCCCTTCACCCTCTCTCTACCACACTACAGAAGGCTCAAGAGGAATCCTGGGTCCTAGAAGCCACCATGGATTTTAGCATAAAGAAATTGAACTTGGGATTTCTTGGATATTAGGAGTGTCTTTAGTTGTTATGATTTCCCTCCTTCAGAATTTCAAATCATAATAATGTAACTCCTAGTGACCACTCTAGAAAACTGAAATATATGACAAGATTTTAACACACATGCTTGGTACTGTACCTGCAATGAAAATAGTGTTGTCAGGCTGAATCGAGAACTTACGGGGTCTCTGTAGACTTAGCAGTATCAGAATTGAATTTTAGAATACTCAGCTGGTGTTGGAGAATTGTTTAATATTTAGAAAACACTACACATGTGTTCCAAGGAGTGTCGGAGCAAAGATGCTCACCTCTCTTGAATTTGGCCTGTTAGAACAGACCACATAATTCCTACTACTGTGGTTATGGTTCTTATATATGTCTCAGTTCTGCTTGGTTATTTAGTGTGCCTGTTGTTTTCTTCATTGTCTTTATTGTGGTCACCATCAAGGAAATCCCCTCTTCTGGGGATGGCAAAACAAAAATACAAAACACCACATAGGCATCCCAGTCTTTGTGATCATGCTCTGTGGTTTTGCCTCCAACATGTACCTCAGGTCCAAGACTTCCAGTTATATAGACAGTGACAGTGACTGTCTGTTACCCACCCCTTCCTCACTTCAGTCAGTTTCAGCCTGAGAAATAAGGAGCTGAAGAATATCTTGAATAAAAATTTGAAAATGTAAATGCTCAGTGACAGAACAGCTTTCTGCTTTGTGTAAGGCCTTGTATTCAGTTCTCACCATTAACTTAAAACCACAACTGACTGACTGGGAAATGTATGACTAAAAGTATGCTCTGCTTAAGAACAGACTTTATACTTTCTAGACTGGTCTACTTAGTGTACTCCGGATTGGACCTGCAATTCGTATATAGGCATTAAATGATCGAACTGCTCTAGTGATGTAACTATAATTGACATATAAAGTACTTTCTCGATGAGTAATAAAAAAATGGCCCCATAGTTAACTGAAGTTATTGTGCAAAGAACAGTTGTACCTGGAGGTGAATTACACGTAGACTTTCTGGTAAATTAGGAGGCACAGATTCCAGATCATTATGGTCCAAATAGAGGAAAGAGAGCTTATTCAGTTTCTGTAAAGAAAATTGTAAATGTCACTGAGGTTTATGCATTCTTCACATTATTCAAATAACGTATACTTTAAAAACAATATTGATGTAAGCACATTTCAATAGTATCAATATTGGCAGCTTGTTTTGATTGTTATTGGTTTTGGGCCTCATAAGTAGTGTCTTTGTTTTTTTAAGACATTTGATATCTAACAAAGCTCTAATGCATACTCCATATTTCTCTGATCATTCATCTCATACTCTAATACTCAGCCCTTAATATTTGTCTAGGAAGCATCTGTGAGTAAGATCAGTGGTTTAATCCTTCAAGTTTTTTGAGAGTATTGAGCTTTCCATTGGGAGTGCGGGGGAGGCTGCTCCTAAGACATGGTGCTTATCAAGATGCTGCTTTCCCAAAGTAATTTGTCAGACATATAATTTAACATGACGTGTTTTCCCACAGGTGATTTATGCTGGAATATTCGTTATCATTAGTAACTTACTACTATGTATGATTGTATGCTATGGTTTCAGGATATGATTTCTTTTGACATTACTCCTAATCTTTGTATGCATCCTGTGCTATGTCATATTTTATGGGGGGAGGGAATTCTCTTCAGCTTCCCAAATGTTGGGATTACAACTACTATACACCACTTGTTTATTCTTTCCTATGCTATTATTTCAAACTTTTCTCTTTTTCTCAATTTTAAAATACGTGTGTGCACGCGTGCACGTTCGTTCATATGCATAAGCCATAGTGCACATATAGGAAGTTAGAGAACAACTCACAGCAGTTGTTTGACCTCTGGGGATCGAACTCAGATTGTCAAGCTTGACAACAAGCACCCTTACCTCCTGACCCATCTCCCTGCTGCTCAATTCTTTTTTTAAACATTCTGCCTTTACACCATATGGACACCAACCACTTTTCCAGTACTGCTTTTATATGATTATGGTGATATGATTTTACTAGTGGTTATTACAATGCTAAGGCATTAAATAAAGTAGACAATTTCATCATTTTCATGTCAACTTTCCCAATATCCCTTTTGTAAAATCCAAAATATTTAAACCTTTCTTTCTCTTTCTCTGTCTCTTCATCTTCCTTCCTCTCTCCCTCTCTCCCTCTCTCCCTCTCTCCCTCCCTCCCTCCCTCCCTTCCTTCCTTCCTTTGTTTCTTCCTTCCTCCCTTCCTTCTTTGCTTCCTTCTTCCTTCCTATTTCTGAAATGGGTATGATCATCCTACCTTACCCAGGCTGGCCTTTGCCTACTGGTCTTAAGCAATCCTTATACCTTACCTTTCCAAGTAGCTTTGACTACAAGGACTTATACTATGTCCTGTTCTAAACATTCTGTGACCTGCTAGTAATTCAAAGACTAGCCTACTTAATTTCTTTAGATTACAAAATTAAATTTTGAAAATTGTGTGTATACATGTGTGTGCAGAGGTCAGAGGCTTGCTCTGGGGAGTCACTTTTCCCCTTCTAGCTTGTTGTGTTCAGTCATGCTATGGAATACTTACTTTGAATGTGTTTGCTTTAATGGTCTTGATTTTGTTATGTTTAGCATTAAGTAAAGTAAGCTTTGGAGGAAGCACTGGAAGCCTTAGTAGTTGGTTTTCAGCAAGTGTAAGCTCTTCTAACAGAGACAGTTTTGAAAAAGTACCATCTTCTATGTCTTCTATCAAATTTCCCGTAAAATCAAGTCTTCTTAAGTTAGCTTGACAGAAATAAATACAAATACAAGTTAAAATCCCATTGTGTAGACTGGAGAAAAGCATTTAAGAGATCACTCAAGGTCCTAAGTTTCTGTTCAGAGGCCAGCATAGTATTTGCAGTTAGTAATTCAGTCAAGTTCATCTTGCAGTGTTGGTAATCTAACTTACAGCCTGGGACTGGAATTCCAGCTGTGCTTTCTTGTGGTGCTGGAGATTTAACCTCGGGCTTGATGCTTGTGGGCAAGCACTCTACCACTGATCTCCAGTCACAAGTCCATAAGTAATGTTTTGTTGAACATTGAGTGTTTCTGTGTCTAACAATGATGACTTTTCTTACTGTGGTCCTAGAATGTATGATTCAGAAGGAATATTGTGGGTTACATTGTATTGATTAGTCTCTACCTTCTTACTTAATAATAAGACAAAAATGTTCCCTGATTTGTTAACATGGTGCAGACTGAGAGATTGAGATATATTCACTTGGTCGTTTGTCTTTTTCTCTCTTCCCTCAGCGGGTATGGAATAGCTGAGATGGTTAGGACATAGTTTTTCATTCATAGTAGTGGTTTTCTAAAGAGTGGCCGCAACGCTGAACTAGTGAATGCAGAGCCCTTGCTTCTAGGAAAGTCCCAGAGGCAGGTGCTTATGGGCTCTGATCCAGCAGCTTAATATACTCTTTGGATTCATGAACATTGGTATAACTCAGACTTGTGTAACACTTGTGTTTTCTGCATAGGCTCATCATTGCTGCCTGCATTTAGATGGCACTTAAGCACTATAATTGTTGCTATTTCAACTAACATTTCCAAAATAAAGCAAAAAACGTGAAAAACAAGATGCTAGATGTGCTACATTTTATGACAACTAAAAGTAGAGCATTGCCGTGTTACACCTTAGCTAGAAATATGTATTTTGAATAACTCAGTTATGTTGTTGTTGCTCTGGGAATTTCTTCTCATGATCATAAATGTGTTAGAAATTGAACCCATGGCTTCATATGTGTTAGGCAGGTGCTCTAGCACAAAACTACAAATCCAGAAAAGTGAATTTGTCAATATGGGATCTACAAAATATAAAGAGAACTAACTGCCCTTCAGCCTGCTACCTAGACTTCTTAGTGGCAGCATGAGTCCAGTTAGGCTTAATCTCATAAATGTAGAGTTGGAAAAGCTGGGTTTGTGACACAGTGGATAGGAAGCAGTTGCCTGTTTTTGCTGGGGGTGGAGCAAATCTTGGACTTAATTGTTGCACTCCTAATAAATAAGAAAATAAAATGTAGTAAAGCCAGTGTGATTCTTGGTTGTGGTTTTCTTCAGGAACACTTGATCTAGGAATCTAGAAAACTGGCAAGGAATGAGTAATCTGGGACTGGGACTTGCTGTTGCAGAACAGGGCATTAGTAGTATGCTGACCACAACACCTTAGTTCAGTGAAAGTTTGTTAGAAAGCCCCAAAGCTGATTGCTGATGATCTGGCGAAGAGTTAAACACCACTGTTTTAGAACTGTTTCCATCGAATCATCTATAGAGTATGGTTGTTTTTATGGTAGTATTTTAAAAAGTTGTCTCACAGATATTTCTAAAGATTTTTAGTTATGTGTACATGTACTTGTCTCTGTACGGGTAAGTGCAGGTGCCTGTGGAGTCCAGACAATAGTATCAGACCCTCTGGAGCTGGAGTTACAGGTAGTTATGAGCCACCTGATAGGGTTCTGGGCATCAAACTGAAAGAGCAGCAAACATTCTTAAACACTGAGCCATTTCTCCATCATCATCTCCAGACAGATTAATAGCTATCAAGTGAAAAATACACAGAAATTTATGCTTTTAAATTTTAAACTTACGCATATCTGCAAAATCTTTGGCGGTCAGCTTTTTAATTTTGTTGAATCGTGCATAAAGATAAGCTGATTCCTTTGGCAATGGTGGTACAGCATCGATGTCAACTTCTTCACAGTAGACAGAGCCACTTAAACAGACACACAGCAGGCATGTGGGCATTTCTAAATCAGGAGACAAAATCGTAGGCATAAACTAATTTGAAAATGTTTGTCATCTGATAGTAAAATTATTGTTATAGTGAATGCTGTGATTTGAAAAGGCATTTTACTGAATCATTAGGAAAGATGGTTGTGGCAACCAACAACCTGTATTGTACTTAATAATCCACCAGATTTTACTTCCCACTATAATGAACATATCTTATCACTTTATTCTTATTGTATGTGTGTAAATTTGTGGGTGCATGCATACCACAGCAGGTTTGTGGAGCTCAGAGGACAGGCTGTAGGAGACAGTTCTCTCCTTCTACCTTGTGGATTGAACTCAAGTTGTCCGGCTTGGCAACAAGTGCCTTTGCCTACTGAGCCATCTGGCTGGCCCTCTTTTTAGTTTCTGTTTTTGCTGTGGTTGTGTACTTGTTGACCTAATGGAAGACTACATTTCCTCATTTGAATGAAAAAAAAAAATAAAAGGAATCTACAGTATAGCATTTAAGGATCAATTTTACAAGTTTGATGTGTTGAAAACATTTTTTCAAATAGATGACAGTAATTAATAACTTTAAAAAGCCCAAGTGAGCCAGGCTGTGGTGGCTCTTGAGAGGCAGAGGCAGGCGGATCTCTGTGACTTTGAGGCCATCCTGGTTTACAGAGCAAGTTCCAGGACTGCTAGGGCTACATAGAGAAACCCTGTCTTGAAAGAAAAAAAAAAAAAAATTGCAGTGAAAGGAACAAACCATTGAAAATCAGTGATTGCTGAAGTGTTATGAGCCTACCTCCAAATCACACTTGGAGTGTCTTTACTTGGGCTCTTATTTAGATGCCTAGAGTACTTCGTTGGTTGGTCTTCCCTCCTACACTCCTCTTATCCCTCCCTTACTCCCCCACGCCATCCCTCCTATCTTTTATTGTTTGAAAAGTATAGGGCCTAATGAGCTGTGATGGCGCACGCCTTTAATGCCAGCACTTGGGAGACAGAGGCAGGCAGATTTCTGTGAGTTCGACACCAGCCTGGTCTACAAGAGCTAGTTCCAGGACAGCCTCCAATGCCACAGAGAAACCCTATTTTGAAAAAAGAAAGGAAAATAAGAAAAGTACAGGGTTTTCTCTCTAGGGTTGGCAGTAATGGGAACATGGACCTAGCTGACCTTGGACTGGAACCATGACTTAAATCTTTCCTGTCTGGTGTTTGTCCTACTGATGAAAACGCTAAGAGTCTTTTTAAGGGCTCTGCGTACATCCCATCCTTCTCTCTGTTCCCCTCCCTCTCCCTCTCCCTCTCCCTTTTTCCTCCTTTTGGCCCCCTCCCCCTCTTTTCTTTCTCCTCTCTCTTGCTGCTCCTGTCTCCAGAGACTGGTCTCCCTCTTCCCTCTTCCATTTCTCTAATTAAAAAATAAAAAAGTCTTTTTAATTCTAGCCATTCAGATAATATATATTGTGTGGTATCTTAATTGTTTCAATTTGCATTTTCCTATCAATATGTGATTTCCACAAAGTATCTATTGTATGTTTTTTTTTCCTTTTTTCTATTAGGTTTTTTTATTATTATTGAATTGTAAACATATATTTTAACTTGTTTCTTAGATTTGCAGTTTGTTTTGCCCAGTTGTAACTTGTCTGTTTTCTTGTGAGTATCTTTGAAGTACAAATGTTTAAAATTTTAGTCAATAATTTATGCCCCTGTAGTTTATGTATCCCTGTTGTATTGAAGAAATATTTGCTAACCACTCTAATAGTCAGCCTTCTTTGCTATGACAAAATACCTGAGATAATCAAGTTTAAAGGCGGGGCTTTTGGGCTCGGTTTAAAAGGTTTTAGACCACGATCAGTTGGCTTCATTGACATTTGGCCATAGCACACACAATAAATAAATGTAAATCTAAAAGTTGCCATAATCAGCTTCTGGGATCCACCCTCAGCTGGGGTTCAGGTCTTTGAGGCCGGGAAGGGGTGTCCAGTGTAAGGAAAACTTCTGACCACCAAGTGGATTGCACTCCAGAGGCTTGCACTGTCTTCATACTTAAACTGAATTTTTCTTACTAGGGTTATATGAACACCTTTATTATTGGCTCCTATTTTTCGATTTGAGGGCATCACCCTACATGTGGAGTGAGGGGGGGATGGGATGGGAGGGTGATCGGGGTGCATGTGAGGGTGGGAGAGAGGGAAAGTTGGAGGGAAACAGAGGGAACTGGGATTGATATGTAAAATAAAAATAAAATAATAATAAAAAGAAGTATATCATATTTTAAGGAATACACCATAATCATGACAGTCCCCATTATCCTCCTTTATTCTTCCCCAGACACTCCTTTCCAACCTTTCTGTAGCCTTATTCTAGACAGAGAGATCAGCATTTTTGCAGTCTTAACTAAGTACTGAGCCAGACACATCCTGTTCTGGCAGCAATTATGTCAGCTGGCAACTACTTGTGGTTACCGAGTTAAAAAGTAATAGACATGAGCACAATGCTTTAAAGACAATAATGTTCAAACCCAAACAATTCTTCTATGTCTGCAAGATATATTTTTATACAGTTCCCTTTTCTACAAGAGAGTGCCATGTCTTAATCTCTCTGTAAAAGGCAGACTTTGACAAAGCGTTCCTTTCCTACCTCATTATACCATACTTCTCCCACCAATATACACTCCTGTGTATGGTAAAGATGGATCTATCTGTTCCCACATTTTGCGTTGTATTTTTTCTTTTGGGACATATTAGATGCTACCAGTGATTCCATGCTTGGTTTCCAGGGAACTTACACTCAACAGTTGGCACTATGTGTATTCTGAGGGTTCCCCCCCCCCATTCTGTGTATGCATGCCTTACTCTCCTTTCCAGAGCTGTGAAACATGGTTAATATTCCAAGTATTGTTTTCTCATATTACCTAATTGTTTTTATTGAGTCAGAAAAATTCTCAGGATTAGGAGTTGTATTTAGTAATTCTAGATAAGAGATTTGAGAAGCATTAACCCCCTGTTGGATATTAGGGGGAAATATTCGAGACAGGACACAATGTCCAGGGGAAATTACTTCTATTGACAAAGTAAAACTAAAGCTTGTCCAAAGAATTAACAACAGAATGAGGGAACAAAAAAACCTGCAAGCTGTACAAGTTTTGCAAATTCCTATGCTGTCCCCTGGACTACTTTGCTTGCCAAGTAAGAGTCCGTTTCCATAGGTGCCTTACTTACCCCAAGGAAATGGACAGGTAGTCATATGCTGGTTCAAGACTAGGCTGCATGGCTCCCAACAATGAGCTGGGATCAAACCTTAAATACATGAGCTTTTAGGAAGGCATTTAAGATCGAAAACTTAGCAGTCATTGCAGTGTTATCCTTTGTTCTAGAACTTGTTAAAAGAAATATGAACATCTTGACTTAACTTTTTAAATACTCATTTTATGTTTTACTTGTATGCATGTATGTGTACCACATGTGTGCTTGGTGTCTAAAAAGTCAGAAGAGGACTTTAGACCTCTCTGGGCACTGAAATTACAGATGTTTTCAGGCTACATTGTGGGCACTAGCAATTGAACCTGGGTCTTGTGCCCCTGAGCCATCTCTCCAGACCCTTGAGTTAACTTTTAAATATGATATCAGGAATAGGCAAGATTCTTTATTCTTTTGGTGTTTTCAATATGCCTTTTGGAAAAGTTTACTTTTTCTTCATTGAATTATAAATACCCTGTCAGCAACCACTTGGCCATATAATAAAAGCCTATTTCTATACACTGGTATGTTCTCTTAATCTTGTCATTACATTTATTTATTTTGAGGGTATGTATGTGCCATGATATGCTTATAGAGGTCAGAGAACAACTAGAAGGAAGGAGTCTCATGGACTAGTATCCTCAACTTGTTAAACATGATATCTTTGGTCTGGTACTGTTTAGTGTTTCCACAGCTATTTTTCTTTCTTTCTTTTTTTTTTTTTTTTTTTTTTTTTCCTTAAAATACCTATAAGTACTTTAGAATCCACTCTCCTTGCATTATCAAAAATTTGGTAATTTTAGTGGGGTTGTCTACATTTTCTGAATTTAGAGATTAATGATGTCTTCATGATATTGAGTCATCCTGTGCAAGACAATCATGTCTTTCCAATTATTCAAGTCTAATTTTACTAAAATACTTGCCAGATTTTTAGAGTGTCTTTTCTGTTCAGGTTCATTTTAGTTTTACTGTAGCAAAATAGGAATTGGTATTGGTGGGTTTATTCATTGTTTCATATGGAACCAGGTTATGGTACTTAACAAAAGTAAATCAAATATAAGAACTATGAAGTATGGCTTATAGTTTGTTATTTTACAGTAATTTTTCTGTTATTTCTATTGAAATAGACATTGTAGGTACTTACGTAGAGTCGGGTTCTTTCTCGTTTGCGTTTTTCTTTCTTTCTTGCTGCCTTTTAAAGTACAATACTTTTTAAAGGAGTCATATAAACACTCTACCAGCACAGCTTCTGTGAGTTTCTCCAAGATAATAATTAATTGTGTTATATTGATTATAAGTCTGTGGTTGTTTTTGAAAAATAATCTTTAAATCTTTCTTGAATAGGTTTGTTTTTTGAGACAAGGCCTGTTATGTGGCCTTTGCTAGCCTGAAACTTGCTATGTAGTCAGGATGACTTAGAACTCACTGAGATCTGTCTGCCTTTGTCTCCCAAGTGCTGGGATTATTAAAGGTTTATGTCACCATGCTAGGCTTTTGGATTGTTTTTTTTTTGGGGGGGGGGAGACAGAAACATATGTTTTCTAAAGGATAGGTTTAGGTAAAAGTACTGGATGTTCTTGAATGTTCTAGTCCACAGTTTTCACTCATAGTATAAAATGGTAAGTGATGAGCACTTCCCATATAGCTATGACTTTACCACTGAAAATGAAATTTCAGTTTATATATCTTGAGACAATTTTGATTACTGTAAGGAATAAAATAAGTATTTTTAAGAGTTGCGTTTCAAAAATATTAAATCATTGTTCATACTTACCATCATTTTCTTTCTTGGTGGGTAATGATGGTACAACCTCATCTTTTTGTAACTGAAGACTTTTCTCATCAGGAATTATCATAGTTTCCTTTTCCTATTATAAAGTTAGAAGTTTGTTATCAGGTGTAATAAGACAAGAGTCTGACTGTAAGCTGGAAGGATCACAAACACATAGTCACAGTTGGTATTTCATCAAGATTTTGTTTTATGTGTGTATTGTGTGTATATATAAGTATGTGTATATATGTATTTCTCTCTCTGTGTGTGTGTGTGTGTGTGTGTGTGTGTGTGTGTGTCATACATATTAGACAAAGGACAACTTTTAGAAGTCAGTTCTCTCCACCATGTGAGCCCAGGGGTTCTATGGCTGCAAGAGACTTTTATGTGACAAACTATCTCAGCACTCTGTTAAGATTTTATACATAATTCCATTTCATTATTCATTAAATCATGCTGATATGGATTCCCGAGTAAAAGAAACAGCTTTTTTTTTTTTTAATTGTTTCCATTGACTATATTGAATTTCTAAATGTTAACTTAGGAGATAATTCTCTGGATGGGATTGAAAGTTTTTCTAATGTGGAGCTACCCTTATACTTCTTTATGTGAACTATTTTCCTGTCAGTGTCCATCCTTCTGAGCACAACAGTACAGCTAGGGAATGTACATTCTTTCCTGACCTGGGTGCCTTCCTGCCTTGGCCTTAGGATGGGTCCCTTTATTCTAGCCTCTTCACCTGATCAAGCCACTGGTGTAGGCTTGTTAACACTATATAACTGTGGATTATCATTTCACCTCTGTCCTCTTTTCAGAGAGTGTGTTTTCTGCTAGTAAACTATAGCTTATTATATGGGGTATTGTTTACTCTACACCCCCACCCCTAGTTCCATGGTATCTCAGTGAACTCCTGACATTGCCCTTAGCCCTCATGTCCCTGTCTGTGTGCTGCCTAAACATCACTCTTCCCTGTTGAGTCCTCCGCTTCACACATTTATACTGATGGAAAACTGCTTAAAATTCCATGTAGTTAAGCAGAAAGCATTAAGGTTCAAGGAATTTTGAAAGTATCCTGGAGTTGGTTGATAGACTCAGATCATTCCAGTGAGACAATAGATTATAAACTTTTTTGTTTTGTTTGCTTTTTAATTTGAAGCTGTTGCTACAGGTACCTGTCTATTTTGTCTTAACCATAGGTAGAAATAACACCAGCATCTTAACTCGTTCCTTCAGAGAAAAGAAACTGTGACCTTAACATTTGCTCATTGTGAGTTAAGAGGGGAAAAAGCGTTTGGACTGGTTAGTCTTAAAATCTTCACTATTTGATTTGTAGTAAAAAGAACTTTTAAAGTAATGAATATTTGTATCTGACTCTAAGTTTCCGGTGTATGTGTGCATCACACACAGGGGGCAGAATATAGTCTTATGCTTTATTAACCTTCTCCTCCCCCCCCCCCGTACTTCTGTATGCCCCTCTCAAAAAACAAAACAAAACAAACAAACAAAAAGACCCACAAGTAATATCTTTGCTCTGATGGTTTGAGATGAGTGATTGTGATATAAAAGCCATAACTCAGTGACATGTCATTACAGATCTTTGGTATAAATTGGTGGAGTCTAAACTGTTAAATGTGATTAAAAATGAATCCCCATAAGTAGTTTTTCATTTGTTGGTACTCTATGTAATTGGCATGCACAACCCTAAGTATTCTTGTATTTTCTTTGTTGGACTGTATTTTTCTGAATTCCATAAACATAAACTGAAAATTTATCTTCTCTTAATTTACCTTTGAGGCAATATAACATGCAACTATAGGACATTATGTAGCATTATTTAACATAAATTGCAGCTATCAGATCATCTTGAAGTCTAATGTCTTATATTTTAATTTTAATTTCTCTAGGTACTTTTTACCATTTGGTACTACCTATTAATTCAGGAATAATGCATATTTGAAAAATATAATCACATTAAATCTTAAAATGCCTCTCCCCTCCTTATCGTATTAAACATTAAAATTAAGGGAAATACATGCATTTAAATAGATATCATTTTAGAATATAAATTTAAAGTACAAATAAAATACCTTCATATTTTTTCCATGCAGGTATTTATCTTCATAGTCCTGGCTAAATTTGCTTTCTTCAAAATTATCTGTTCCATACTCATAATTAATGTGTGAGTCCAGCAGCAGGGTTTGTGGTGCTGGCTGTGTCAGAGGCACGAACAGTAGCAGGAGAAGTGTAGAATGCACAGTCTTCATTTCCACAAACTCAAGGTGACTGGAAGTTAGTAAACTAGTGACCTGATGGCCGTGGAACGGAACTCTTTTCCCCCTGGAAACAAGGACGCAGACTATCGAAGCAATATTTAAAGCTTGGAGGATATTTTGGCACGGTGTATGCAGTAAGGGCTAGAGAACAAACTATTTAACCCTTAGTGATCCTCAATTAGATACTAACAGTTTTTTATGTACCAGTAAAGATTCTGAAAACTTCAGAAAGTATTTTATTTCTTAACCTATCAAAAATTTAAGAACTGTTGCTAAGTTTACTAACAGTCAAATGCCTTGAATAGGGATAGTTGTATGCAGTCAAAGTCTTCTTGGGATACCTGCAGTATAAATGGTTAACACAAAGATCCATGATCCTGTGTCATGTGGACTTAAAAATATCATATTTCAACATTGCAGCTTTAAAGGAATTCTTGATTCATATGGATGAAAAAAAAAAGCAGTTCTTAAAAAAGGATTAAAACTTAAACCTTAAGTTTAACTTCATAGAAAGTAGACAGCACTTTTAAATGATGCATAATATAGGAAAAATCATTTAATTTCTCTAGTTTTATAAATTTAACAGGTTAACACTAGTTTTAGTTAATAATCTTGATTTTTTTTTTTAAGCTTAAACTATGAAAAGTACAACAATACCACTGCAGACTAGGGTAATTTAAAACTTTAAGGGAGGAACTTTGGAGATTGTACTGGAAAGATTTTTTGAGGCTCACCAGTGAATTTTAACTGCTGAGTACATGTTTCAGACAATTTAAAACTACAGTCAGAATCACTTAGAGATGCTGATGCTGCAGTAGCGATGCCAGTTTGTCAAATATCCAGTGGTGAAATTTCAAAATAAAATGGGTTTGTAACTTTTTCTGCTTCCAGTTCTTATCTACATCCATGTTAAAGTTATAAAATGACATATGAAAGTATTCTTGAAAATTAATTGTTCAGAGAAAATGAAACTTACACTACAGATGACTTACATTTATTAAGACTTTCATAATCACTCTTTAACACACATTATATAAATTAATTTGTGGAAAAGAAGCCTACCGTAGTCACTGGTAAAGTCCTGTGTGGTTTTCCTCAATAGGTGTTCATGCCTGCACATTAGTCCCAAGTGGGAGGGTGAAGGAGCAAAGCTGTGGGATGGTTTCTAAGTGCTGAGTAAAGTTTCAGGGCCCAACAGCTTAAATTCCATGTGGTGGATATCTTTGCCAGCATTCCTTCTCTGGGGTGAAATACAGGGTGTCACGCGGGAGAATGTGCTGAAGATGTTTGGATCTGCGGCACCAGAGCTGCTGCAACGTACTGAAGTCTGGATCTCTTTTACCTTGTATATTGAGCCCGAACCTTTTAGTGAATATTAATTTATAAAAATGACATTTTTTAAATCATGCTTTTATTTTTGTGCTTTTTCTGGTATATAAAATACTCTTTTGGATGAAATTGAATACCAAACCAAACATAGACTTCATTATTAATTTAATGAGAACTAAGAATTTTGTTCCCACACTATAACTAATACATTAGAAATTTAATGAAAAGCCCGTTTTAACCCAAATTAGTCTGAACTTTTGTCCTGTAGTTTTTAATTCTTTTATTTTAGTTCATAAGAGTGGGTAAATAGTCAGGCATAGTGGTGTACACCTTTAATACCAGCACTTGTGAGGCAGAGACAAGCGATGTTATATCTGTGAGTTTGAGGCTAGCAGAGTCTATACAGTGAGTAGTACCCTGTGTTCTGGACTGAGTTCCACAGTCCAGGACACCCAGAGTTACAGAATGAAACCCTTCTTGAAACAAACAAACAAACAAACAAACAAAACAGTGTGATACAGTTTTTAAAAAGAAGTTTGATTTTATAATTTTATAATAGCAAAAATATTTACTGATGAAACCTTATATTAAATTTGATTTTGAAAAAACTAGTGGCTGAGTGTTGTAACACAATTAATAAAAACCCAGGGACAGATAATGGGTCCCAAGCTTCAAGTTGAAGATCAGAAAAGCAAAGCAGCCAAGCCCTACCTCTACCAATGCTCAGACTTATTGCATCTCCAAACTACACTGCCCTCCTCAGACTGCAATCCTAGACTACTGTCTCTCCTCAACGTAGCTAGAGACTAATTCTCCCTTTATACCTCTCAAACCCTGGGATTAAAGGTGTGTGATCCCAAGTACTGAGATCAACTTTGTGTGAGCTGTTTCTCTTTAGTACTGGATCAATTCCATGTAGCTCAGTGTGGCCTTGAACTAACAGATCCATCTGCTTGTCTCTTGAATCCTGAGATTAAAAGTGTGTGCTACCACCGCCTGACTCTTTGGCTAGCTAGAATGACTGCTCGGATTAAAGGTGTGTATCACTATTGCCTGGCTGTATGACTTGTGGCTACCCTTGCTGTCTGTGCCCTCAGGCAAGCTTTAATAAATCATAAATAACATATCACCACACAGTGCACACTTTTAATCCCAGCTCTTGGAAGGCAGAGGCAGGAAGAGATCTCTGTTAGTCTGTTCTACACTACAAGTTCCAGGCCATCCAGAGCTACAAAGTGAGACCATGTCTTAAGAAAACAAAACTATAAAACAGTAGTGTAGATACATGTACACATTCTTTAAAGATTTACCTTTAAAAAATACTTTTGCTGGGCACACCTGTAATCTCAATACTTGAGAGTCAGAGAAGGAAGGCGAGTTCAGGGTTATCCTGGATTACATAGTGAGCCCTTGTCTAAAGAGATCACAGAAGAAAAGGATCACAGGGAAGATCTCTCATACTCAGTAGCATACTGATAATATAAAATTTATAACAAAAGTATATTCAGTGGGGAACCTAAATAAGTTTAATTAGATATCTGAAGGTTTTGCAAGGCACGAGGAAGTCTGCTGTGGTTTCAAGCAACTGTTTGTTGAGTGTTTAGTCACATCTATCATCTGTTGTGACTGGTACTTTTGTTTAGAAGTCATGTTTGAGAAAGATGTTCTCTTCTGATGTATATACATATATATTTCCTTATATAATATAAAACAGATGAGTATTAGCAAAAATTTAGTTCTACTTTCAAACTTAAACTACTGTTAGACCACACTAAAATTTATTTAAGACTTTTATTGTAAAGCTCCTTTACAACTTTTAAAGATGGAGAGCCTATTATGATATTTTCAATGAAACCAAATAATAGCATGACTTAGAATGTCAGTCTTCTACATATGTTCATAAACTTTAATGTGTCTACTTTCATATTTCCATTGGTTTGCAGAGTAAGGAGGATATCTGGTTATTAATGGTTTACTTTTAACAGATGACCACAATGTTATCTGAGATTGTTTGTGAATTTAGAGTAATATTCCTTTAAGCCCTTTCTACCAACTAAACATTTGGTCTAAGGTTCTTTCCTTGGGGATTACCTTCTAAGGTGTGACCACACCAGCAACTGAAACAAATTTCAATGTAAATAAAGAATGTATACTAACATTAATATGTAAGTGTATTTTAGAAATACACTTCTTTTTATGTCCACTGGAAATCTGGTGCTTTTGGTGTGGTCTGTTAACATACATCATGCTTATTTTTATATGTTGATCTACCATGCTTTTATGGTACAAGATAGTTTGCTGTTTCTAGTTCTTAAAAAAAAAAAAAAAAAACACACAAGGAAACCTATTTCAACAATACCCACTGATTACCTGAAGTCCACCTTCCTTTCACCATCTTTAACTTAAGTGAATAAATCATACATTACCTATTCTTTAGTGGTAGATGATGTTGAAATCTAATAGTAAGAAAGGTCCCAAGGTGATTCTGTCTGTACTGAGTGGTCATTTACTAGCCTTCTTTTTGCCTTACCATCTTTGTATTTAGGGGGTGGGGGATGAATTATAAATAGTAACAAGTCTTACCAGAGAATTTATGGTTTATTTTTGCTAGTTCCTCACCCCCTAATGTTTAAAATAGTAATTGAACCTATATTTTGTGATTGGAAAAAAAGTTACTTTTATTATTCTTCGGTGCTTTTAGTAGTCAAAGTCATAGTTCTTTTTTCCTAAAGCAAAATGTGGACAAGTATTTAAAATAGAGCATGAGGGCTGGATAGATGTGGCTCAGTAGTTTAGAGCACTTACTGTTCTTGCAGAAGGCCTGGGTTAAATTCTCTAAAAGGAATAAGAACTTACTGAAAAACCAATGGTTGTGTCTTGCTCAGGACAGAGCTCCATATATAAACCAGGCATGGAGATGCTGGAACAGAGTCTAGAGTATACCTGTGGTTGAACTTACTCCTCAGTTAACTAGTTCTGCATAACCTAAACCCTCTACCCTAAGTCATATGAATGGTCTTTCTGGCCAGATTAACCTACTCCTAAAACTATTGTATATGGTCAGTCCCATCCAAAACAAAGACAGAACGTTCATTAGTGACATAATAAGTTCTAGGGAGGTAAAGCCAAGCTCAACCTCTCTTTAGGTAAAGCCAAATTCTTCTATACAGTTCCCTATAGAACTGTTTGAAACTGAGGTTATTTTCCATTTCAGAAAGAAATCTTAAATTCTGGTAGAAAATTCCTCAGCTTTCACTATTAAACATGAAAGCTACCAAATGCTTTAGATTAGACATGTCCACTAGAACATTTGTTTAGGTAACTGCTGTATTACCCTTGGTGCCTTATAGGGGTTATATTTCTTCAAGGGTGCTTCATTAGCCTATGCCTCTTCCTAATTATTTCTTGGTAGTAAGCAATTGAAAATGTGTTGAGTGGAACTGTGTTTTCAGGTCATCATGTAGCTCGGTTTGTAGAGTACTTGCCTAATAATATTCAAGAAGCCCTGAGTTCCATTGCCAGCCGTGCATAAAACAGGTATGGTGGCACTGATCAGTAACCCCAGCACTTGTGAGATAGACAGAAAAAGAACAGGATTCAAGGTCATTCACAGCTAAATGGTGAATTCTAAGCAAGCTGAACTATTTGAGACCCTGCTTTTAAAAACAGATGCCAGATATACTGTGTGTGTGTGTGTGTGTGTGTGTGTGTGTGTGTGTGTGTGTAATGTTGCATTGGCCAGATATACTGTGTGCATGCATAAAACTGTGTGCTGTATAAAACAGGCATGAAGGACCCACAGGAAAAGAAGATGGACATTGCTACAGGGTTCCTGCTTCATGAAAGAGTCTGCCAGTCTGCAGGACACAGAGAAAAGTGACGACTAACTGCCAATATAGGTGGACATTTTAAAGTTTCCTGCTTTGCTGAGGAGTCTTCCAGACACACTATGTATAGGCTGAAGATGGAACATTACAGAAGAACTTTGGGTGACTGACTAGGCGAGTTGCCTCTGTCATTTCTAGAGTTTATATACTATCCTTCTGTGGTCTTTGAAGGAGTTGAAGACAGATAGTTAGGTTATAGTTTTCCTTAGTTAAGATTAAAGATAAGCTACATATAAGACTTTAGACTCACAAAGATAGGATAGATGATAGAATATTTTCCTTTAAATCTTACTAAATGTTAATGGACTAAATACTGTTAACTATGGTTCTTATTTGATAACTATTTTGTTATATGTTTTACTATGTTAAAGTTAAAACCCTTCTTTTTTATTTTAGACAGAAAAGAGATGATGGGAGATGTCATTCTGTAACTATGTTTCTCATATTGGTTAATGAATAAAGCACTGTTGGCCAATAGGAAAGCATGATAGGCGGGACTAGGAGACAAGGAGGAGAGAGGAAGTAGTAGGGGGGGAGATCCAAGATGGAGGACTGAGAGAAGAATGCCGGGGGTCTCTCTCCAGTAAGATGATACCACATGGAAACACTTAGATTAATAGAAATGGGTTAACTTGGTCCCGGCTGGCCAAAAAACATGCTCATAACATGTGGGTGTTTGTGTTATTGTGGCTAATGCAGGCAGATCTCTGTGAACTTCAGGCTAGCCTGGTCTACTTAGTGAGTTCTAGGCCATCTAGGACTACATAGTGAGAACTTTAAAAAAAAAAAAAAAAAACAACAACTGGGAGGAGGAGGAAAAGACAAGAAATTGAGTCTAAGAAGCAAGGGTTTTCTGGGAAGAGAGAAGGTGAGGGAGGGGAAACTATAAACCATCCCATAGGTTGATATTTTTTCCGTCATCAACATCATCATCTGACTGCATCGGGAACAGTGATTGAGAGTCAGAATACTTGTCTG